TTCGGACGTTACCATAATTCCCTTAATAAAAACCAAATTTACTGGGAAAATGCTGAATGTTTTTCCGCCAATTTTTCAATCCTGTATAAAAAAGCTCAGCTTGCGTGCAGCTAGAGTTTAGAATATACTTTTCCGTCTTTAGTGGCAAAATCATTAATCAAATAATAACAAGTAACAGTTCGCCTTCAATTTTCAGCATAGGCAACACGAGCTCCCTCAGGGTCGAATAGTTGTATCACCTCAACGGACACGATTACCCGATTATGGGTGATCACTTTCGTTGCCACCAATTATGCCAGTCTAAAATGACAACTCAAGAACCGTGAAAACGCAATTTAAGAAAAAATGAAGGTCAAACTCTCCCGCATTCGACGTTTTAAGCTCTAAATTTAGAATATTTAAGAATTGTCAGTCTCCGAAGGACCAAACTACTTGACATTGATTCACTTACCTTCTGGCGGTGTAAACAACTTGTTTACATCGTCATTAAGACTCAACATTGAAAAACCTTGCTCTCACCTATTCAGGGGCGGAAAAATCTGCGTCATCTGATCCGGGAAAACCAATTGACACCGGATCTACAGTTGCCCCTACAATTTGAACCTGAGCATCGAAAGGTTAAACGAGAAGCATTGATAATTTAGGAGGAATAAAAACAAAATCCCTTCACGCGGTGAATGTGTATTAATTGATCCAGCGTTGTCATTTCTGATAGACGACCCATTCGACGGATTTATCGTCTCGTGCGCAATTTGACAACCTTGTCGGTCACGCCTTCTCCCGTATCAGACACCCTAGGGCTGTCTTCACCCCCAATTGCACCCCCGATGAGGAACCGATTAGAAATAGATCAGGTGTCGGCGAGTCACTGATTTACGACGGAAATTAGTGGAGTGTGTCCGTTTAGCCATGACAACGCCGCCGGGTCTCAAGTAGAAAGCTGACTCTTTTTCTATTTTATTTGTCAAAAAATTACGAGTTTCTTTGCGGTCTGGCGCCTACGCTAAATGGGGCGGTATTTAATTGATTGTTACGCTAGCATGCTCACAATTTTTAATTTCATTGGTAGCATCGATGACCTTCAGTATTTAACGATATTCGGTTTATGCGCATGCATTACTTACATTTCGATGGCTGCACTCCGGCAGCGCATTCCATAATCATACTCAATCGCAATTTTACTAAATTTCCGCCCATATTTGAGTATTCAATTATTTCTTCAGGAGACTTAAGAATAATTATAACGCCTTCAATCACAAAAATGGGGGAAAATTTTTTGTTGCAGTAAGATGCTTTCACTGATGCATCCTCTGATTGGTCGCTTGCATGCAATTTGCACGCCAGAACCGTCCAAAATCAATGTTTGCAAGTTGTAATATCAGGCCTTGTCCATCTAATTGTAAGTAATGGCCTGGTTACACGATCGAATTCCCGTCAAATTCCGATCAAAATGATGACCAAGATGGTGGTCGAGATTTATCTAGATTGATGAGTAAAATTAATTAAAACAGCGTGTTGATTAAAATAAGCATGAAATAAGCACGGTTGTGTGGAAATCAGATGAAGAATGAACCCCACAGTTCCATCATCTACCATCAAATTTTTGCAGGCCGCAGAAATTTGATGGTAGATGGTGCGCACCAGTCACCATTTGATCGGAATTTGACGAGAAATTGATCGTGTAACCAGGCCATAAAATAATCGAAATTCGGGGCGGTGTCATCCAGAATCGATTATTTATGACGGATTTAAATTATGGAAAAACTGCGCGTTACCAACCACAAGAACCGCTGGCGGTTACCGTCGAGTGCCCAAGAACTGCCGATGTTCTTTTAAGTTAAGGGATGAATTTTTTGTTATTCGAGGGTGGAAAATGACGAATCTGCGGGACCGGCGGCTTTCACAAAGTGTGCGTCCGTAATTTGTGGTCAAAAAAGGGGCGGAGGTGGCTGGACTATGCGTGGGGAGTCTGTTGGGAGATAAATTTAATCATGGTCACGACTGACGAATTTACTGCTTTGACTAACCTGCCAACTCGTCTCTTCAGTCGTTGATTGCATTACCGTCAGTCAGTCAGCTACCCAGACGTCCATCCACCCCACCCGCAACTTTGGGAGAACCGCATAATTACTGAGTAAAACTCATGCCCATACGTGATTTCTCAAAATTCGACCCTCCTGCTCAGATGAGTTAGTCGTAATTTTGCGAAGCTGCCCCCATACAAGGGTCTCTTGTGTCATTTTGACGAGGAACTGATTTTTTTCTCCCTTTCTTTCTTTTTAAATTTTTTTCTAAAAACGCTAGCTGCCCGTAAAGACCTCTTTTTTAAGTAGTTCAGTTATCTAATGAAAAAAAGTCCAATATAAGTTTAGTCCTTTTGTGATTTCATTCAAAGATTGCAAAATTGACACAAAAACAATTCAATTTCCTAAAAGCATTTGACTGCGCAGTTCCTTTGCTGATTATTGCATGTGATCAGAGTTTAAGTCAGGAAAATCCTCCTTCAAGAATACCCGTAGGTTTTAAAGTAAAAATGTACATTTGCGAATAAAAACGAGGCAATGTTGAAAAGTCGTTACCTTCTTTCGTCGGGAGGAGCTACGGATTTCCACGTGTTTTTTTTTTTTTTTTTTTTTTTTTTTTTTTTTTTTTTTTTTTTTTTTTTTTTTTTTTTTTTTTTTAAATGAAAATTGACAATCTTACGCCGAACTGGGGATTTGCAGAGTTAAATTTTCCGCTCAAAGACTCCCAGGTGCCATTTTCTCAAGAATTTATCTGAGAGGCTTGGAGGACAAGTGCAGGATGAGTGCAGCTTTTTGAAAAAACTATGAGATATTTATGATTAGAACTGAAACTAGTCTTAAAATATATCCTGTGAAAAATTCACCTCTAAAATCCAAGTTTTAAGCATCAAAAAGTTGAGTTCGAACTTTCGCAAGTTTCCAGGATGAGGCTACAGGTGATTTTGAAACTTTAAACACGTATTTCTTGAAGCAGCAAAAACTGCACTTATACCACTTGTCTTCCAAGCCACTCATTTTTTAACCAAGCACACTTTTTCTGAGTCTCCATGCGTGATACCTTTGGAGTGAGGCTCGTCAAGACCTCCATTTAGTCTTTAATGCCTGTATCCGAGGCGCAATAACCTATAGACGGGAAAACGGAATAGAGGAGGAAGCAGGAACTAAGCCGCGAATAAATGGTCGCATTTCATTTCAATGACAGTGCAATACTGGACGGCCCCGACTCAGCTCCGCGGCAGCGCGTATCGCGCGAGACTGTCCCAAAAGACCGGCAATAAATTACGCGCCAACACATGTGTTGAGCTTTTTCGGCACCGAGATGAGTTATGTCTTTTGTTCGGCTTTTCCGCTTTCTAGCCCGGTGTTGGTGTCGGGGTGTCCGTGTGCCCTATTACTCGACGCCTCGCCGTGTTATTAATGCCCCCCCCCCCCCCCCCCCCCCCCCCCNGTGTCTTGGTGGTGGAATTTTTCAGCCTCCACGCCACTGTTTACTTCCCGCCAATTCGTACGGCCACAAATCATCCGGCCAATTGCGACGCCGGAAGTTAATTAATCCGGAAAACTTAGGGTAGTTTTTCTACGAATGGTCCGAAATTAACGGAAACACAATTTTGGGGAAGATGAGTTGGGCGTGATTTTGAATTTACCTAGTCGTGCGTTATCTTTTTTCAAATATTCAAAGTTGGTTCAAACTTTTTTAAACGTGAAAACAGCCATTAAAGGTCAGCTTTAGCATTAAATCTGATGGAGGAATACAACTTTAAACTTCAAAAGGACCGCGTTAAGCAGAAACGAAGCAAGTCACAGCAGATATTGCCAACTTTAACCGGGCAATTTAATTTTATACGAGAGAACGTTTGTGCGGAATCCTTTGAAAATTTTGAAGAATTTCATTCGTGCAATGCAGAAAATTCACTGAAATTTGCACAAAAATTCGCACGACCGTTTTTATGTAAAACATTAAATTGCCCGATTAAATTTGGCAATAGCTGAAGTGGCTTAGTTCCGTTCTGCTTATAACGCGGTCCAAATATCATTTAGGCACCAGGGTTATTTTAATGCAACTTTTCTTTGTCCGTTCCGTTTGATAATTCTCATGGAAATATAACCCCTACAGTAACTTGATTGTTGAACCGTTATCGAGTCACTCTCGGATGACCTTAATCGAGAAATAGCATCGCAAAGATAGGAACTTATGTACGTTTAATCGATGATGGATTCCAACAATGACCCGCAGCTCAACTAGAAGACCTGATGGACTGACAAGTAGATTCAATAATAGAGATCACCCAAAATTACAAAAGCGCGGAGCTTTCACGCGTATTTGATGAGGGGGTGTAACGGGCGCGAGAATGAGGGATGATTTAAGATAGTGACACTCAATACGATTGACGTCGAGGCAAATATTAGGACACTTTTAGGGGATGGAAGGGTGGATGAGTATTAAAACTGTATCACTTACGACGCACCCTGCGAAATAAATGAGCGTGTTGCGTGTTTAAGAATCTATCAGAGTTTCATTCGGATTATTTCCAGAGATGTGAACATCTTGGTTATGCCTCCTGAATACGGCAAAGGAAATTCGCGGATAGGCAACGAGCATTCCTCATTATTTTTGAGATTATCTTTGTATCCATTAATTTTGCCGCCTAGCTTATCATAATCGAACTAAAGATTCCAAAAAAGTGACTCTTTTATAAGTCCTCTTCACGGAATAATGGTGGCTCCTTTTGCGTATCCCACAAACATTACTTTCATTAAAACTCTCCATGTATGGATTTTTTAAATTGCATTTTTATATAGATTGTTTAGTCAGCCCTGTTACCTAAAGTTTTCAGTGATTATTGTGCGCTGAAAAGAAAGTTTTCGCTTTTTTTATTTAGTATCAGAAATTGAATTTTGTAATATATATATATATATATATATTTTTTTATATATATGCCATCTTCTAAGGACCTTCTTTCTTTCTTTTTCCAGATAATCCTGGTCGATCGAGATCTACAGCCGGTCTGGCGATGGACCTTTTCGAACAACACCAGGGAACTCACATATTACAGGTATAACTTACTTTTCAAAGTTGTTTATGTTTCAATCATTAATTTCAATAATTTGAATTTTTTTGTCGAATCTCAAAACTTATCTCGATTGCAATTTGGGTTGCTATACTGAAAATTAAATTGCCTAATTTTAGAGAAGGGTATTTTATTAGCATGCCCTTCGTAGTCATTAATATTGAGTCCACGAAAAGGACCTCTGAAAGTACAAATATTTTTACACTTTCTTATTGACTAGCCCCTCTTAAAACTTTTTTATCTTAATTGCAAATGATAGCAAGAAACAGATTTACTAACACATACACGCGCGTATTTTCACACAACTGGCAATAAATGCAATTTGTACGGAATAGCTCGGATATTTCCCTCATGCATGCTGCCGTCAGTTCGCCTTCAACTTCCAGTGTAGGCAAAACGAGCTCCCTCGTGGTCGAATAGTGGTATCAGTGCAACAGAGACGATTGCTGAGCAAATATTGAGGACGGACGATGATTGAAAACAGGGTTGTGTAGACAGGCATTTTTATACTCAAGACGATAAATCCAATAAGTTCGGGTAGCTCTGATGTTCCACTCGCGTCATAGTTTGGACCACTTTTTATGACGCGAATAACAGTATATTTATTCGGCAGCCCACTCAAATACTTTCAACTCCACCTGTCACAATCCTCAAAAACCGAGCTTTAGTCCATAAATAAAGAGAAAATCGTGGTTCATATCGAACACCGAAGTTTCCAATCGAAGTAAATCAAGTTTTCAGCCATGAAAACAGAACTTTGTTTCAAGCAACCTAAGTCAAGTCCCTGACAAAAGCTGACGAGTCGGTATTGTTAAACAATTTGGTTATTTGATCCGAAACTCAAGTTCTGGTACCAAATATGTTTTTAACCTGCGAATTGATTGCTGAATTATTATAGAAAGGACTTTATCGATTAAATTCTATCTTTGCGATGGTATTTTTCGATCATTGTCGATATTCATATCCATTTATCGATTTAGTCATTCTATGACCATTCATGAATCGAGGCGCACCTATAATACTTCGGTGCTCCATACGAACCGAAGTTTCCTCTCTGCGTTTGAGCCACCGTCCAAAACCTTCCCTTTCCACAATGCACCATTAGATTAACGGAATCGCTGGAAGAAAGGGGAGAAAACGACCTGGCGGAGGGAAGATGAGCAGGAGGATTAGATTGGTTCGATTCGAGCCTAGGTGAAGCAGAAGATGGGTGGCGCGCCTGGTCCGGGGAGAAATAATAGTCATAATAATTGGGAGCTATAGAATAAATAAACAGAATTTTATTAGGAGGGTCCGCGTCTGCGAAGGGATAAAAGTAGCTAATCAAAGGAGGACCGAGGGCGGATTAGAGAGAAAATTAGCCCTTTTCTTAAATGGTCAAGAACTGCGAAGACGCACCGAATGATGCATTTAAGTAGCGCTCATCGATGCCTCGATACTTCGATACTTTCTCATTGAATCAATCAGGATATCGATCCATCGAACGAAGTTGACGACGGTAAAGCACAAGCCTGGTTACCGGATTCGCGTCACGAATCGGAAAGCAAGCTACGGCCCGGGTTTGCCAGATGGCGCCACGTGCTCGTTGGTTTTGTGCGGCAGATAAGCGCATTTTGGAAACCCTGCGACAAATTGAGCGCCGAGATCGCGCGCCGTTCTTCCGTGCGAAGAAAAAACGCCATAAGGACGTCCAGACGTTGCATAATTTCTCCTAGTAAAACTCGAATTATTCGATATTTTCCGCACATTTTCTTTAGAATTTGTTTGAAAAATTTCATTCAATTTTGATCTACTTTGTTTGAAAAGTTCAGAGGAAATTGCTCATAATTTTTATCACAAATAATTTTTTTATTGGGAGTAGTTTGGCAACCCTGGAATGTTCGCACGACGTTTTTTTCTGGGCTTCGCATTGATCCCCGGTTAAAAGCCTACGGTTCACGGTTCTCGGAAAATCCTGAATTAAATATTTCATCGATCTCCGGCATTTATCACTTACTCAGACCTTTATGTACTCCTATTTTATCCGCCTCCAGATTTCCAACCGGTCGTCCGGTCTTTTATGTTCTCCACTACGTCATTATCCTTCGAGCCTTTCATTTTCCTCACTTTCCAAAGTCTGTTGGGCAAAACGTTCCAGAGATGTGATGAGCTTTGATGTGGCTACGTTATGGCATATGGCAAAGTTTCGGAGAGCGTTTCTCAGGACCTCTATTCAGACTTTATTTTGCAATTTGGAACTATAATTTCTGGTTCGTTCGTGAAAACACGCATGCGCAGAAGGAAAGTAACGGTGCAAACGTTGTTCTTATTCCGGAGCCAGAAAGTGTAGTTCCTTAAGGCAAAATGTAGTCTAATTGATCTCGGAAAAACGGTAAATCCTATCGTCAGTTTTCTAATTGACTTGAATTTAAATCCGTCGTCGATTCTTTCGCTTTTGGTAAACTTCTGGGGAATTGTAATCAAGTGGTCCTACCCTGGCAGAAACGACCATTGACGTGAGTGAAACGTGGTAAAAATTTGACGCCAAAAATGTGTCATCATGTTACCAATGTGGCATATTGTTATTGAAATCAAAATGTTGCCACGATGAGAGCAACACGGTGATTGCTCCTCTACTAGAGCAGTTTAAAACCTATACTAAGTCTGTTGAGTTATAGTCAAAGAAATTTTGATGACTTTAATGACTGAACCCTACGGAAGGGATGACACGATCTGTCTATACGCCACCATCTAACAATTCCAATATTTACTGAGATATCTCACTTTGAAAAACATGATGCCTGAGGTCATCTGCACTTCATGATTTCCTACGACATTGTCATACCCCTGTGAATGGGCAACTCTGGACCCACTTATATTGCTGACCTTTGGAAGTAAACTAATCCATTTTTCTTCTTCTCTGTTTCAGTCTTTAGATGGTTTCGCTTTTGCTCTGGCAGCAGACGGAAGATTTTTGTACATTTCAGAAACAGTTTCTATTTATTTGGGCCTTTCACAGGTAAATATTTGACATCAATTTTCGTACTTTTTTCAGTACGGCTTCAAATCTCAATGTAAGATACGTTTATCAACTCTAAGAGCTTTTCATGAGCTTGGGGGTTGATTTCAAGCAAAATCAGGTGTATCGTTGAAATTTCACGTTGCCCGGAATAATGGTTAAATCAAAAATCCCTGACTCTAGGTGGAACACCACTATGGCTCTAGCACTCAATGTAAGATGAGTATCTCAACTCTAAGTACTTTTTCTGAGCTTGGAAGTTGATTTCAAGCACTCAAGGTCAGATAAGTATCTCAACTCTAAGTACTTTTTCTGAGCTTGGAAGTTGATTTCCAGTAAGTTTAGTAGTATCGTTAAAATTTCACACAGACCGCAACGATTAAACCGAAAACCCCCGACTCTCGGCAACACTCCACTACGGCAAGATCAGTATCTTTACCTCAGTAGCTTTTTTTAAGCTTAAGAGTTGATTTCAAGTATAATCCTCCCTTAAATTTTACGTCCACCGCAATCATCAAATGGAAAATCCCTGACTCTTGGTGGGACTCCACTACAGCTTCAGCTCTCAATGTAAGATAAATATCTCAAATATTAGAGCTTTTTATGAGCTTGAGAGTTGATTTCAAGTAAAATCAATGAAAATCGTTGATCTCTCACGTAGGTCGCAACCTATAAGTCGAAAATACCTGACTCTCGGTAGCCTAACTCCACTGCGGCAAGATAAGTATCTCAACCCCAGGAGCTTTTTTTAAGCTTGGGAGTTGATTTCAAGGATAATTTTCATTGAAATTTTACGTCCACCGCAATGGTCAAATGGAAAATCCCTGACTCTTGGTACCACTTAACCACGGCTAGATAAGTATCTCAACCCCAAAAGCTTTTTTTAAGCTTGAAAGTTGATTTCAAGGATAATTCGCATTGAAATTTTACGCCCACCGCAACGATCAAATGGAAAATCCCTGGCACTCCGCGGAACTCCGCCTCGACTGTTCGACCCTGCGGGTTTTTCCGATGCAGGGATCTCGCCCGAACTTTCCGGGGGGCTCTTTGCCCGGGTCCGGGGCGAAGTGCAAGGCTGTCGGCGGCAGGCTTTCCCGGGCGGGAGTCATTTAAATTCATTTCGAGTATCATATCAATTTTCAGTAACCGAGCCGAGCCTTGCTTCCAATCTCGCTCGCATCGCATCGCGGCTCGACTTCTGGTCCTGGACTTTTTGCCCCGTCCCCCGCCGCCCCCCGGCCACCCCCGCGCCGCTTTCTCCGGGAGCGTTTCCAACCCCTGCACGGATCGGTGGAGCAGGAGCGCGGCGGTGGCGGTGGCGGCCCCGGCAGCGGAGCGGGAGCCTCGGTCCGAATTCGCGTCACGTAGCGCGGGAACCGTGCTCGGGGTCTCTAATTCTCTGGCAATCAATAGTGTCTCTCCGAGCTCGCTGTTCCCCGGCCCCGGAGCCCGGCTCCGGCAAAGGCCAAGCCAACATGGCCCCCGAGTCCTCCCGCACACCCCCATCCGATACACTCCACTCGGAGCCTCTGCAGTCGTGCAGTCCTCCAATCAGGGGAGAATCCAAAAAAATCGGATTTTGTTCCACTTCGAGGGACCTTTTTTAAAGGAAAGCCTGAACTCAAGTGTCTTGAAGCTGCAACTACTGACAGTTACCCATAAGGTCGAATTCGTGTTCGACTCAGAGCCTCTGCAGTCGTGCAGTCCTCCAATCGGGGGAAATCCAAAAAAATCGGATTTTGTTCCACTTCGAGGGAACTTTTTAAAGGAAAGCCTGAACTCAACACGGAGACAAAAAAACTCGTGCGTGGGACCCGAAGTTTAGGTCATATGGATCCCCGAAGTTTTCAGATTGAGCATCTGAAAGGTCCAGCTGCTGAGGTTTGTATCACACATCTGAAACTTCAGTTCTTACGTCTGAAGTACTTCGGTTTCCACATCCGAAGAAATTCGGTTCTCACGTCCGAAAAACTTCGGTTCTCACACCTGAAGTACTTCAGATGTAAGAACTAAAGTTTCAGATGTGTGATCCAAACCTCGACAGCTAGACCTAAAGTGTTCAGGTGCTCAATCTGAAAACTTCAGGGATCCATATGACCTAAACTTCGGGTCCCACGCACGAGTTTTTTTTCGCCGTGAAGTGTCGAGAAGCTGTGACCACTGACAGTTACCCATAAGGTCGAATTCGTGGTCGTTCCTTGAACAGCTGCTTTCCAAGGATAGACAAAATACAATTTTTTTCAGTATCGGTCAATTTTTCTGAAGAAGAATCAATGCGGACTATCTTTAAAGCTACCATGATTTCGCAACAGCACTAGACAAAGACTTCGGATTTTAACACCTTTTCCCTCACAAATCTTCAGCTTTTTCCAGATGCTTTTTAGTGATTCCAGAGTCTAGGGTTGTATTCATGGTTGTTCCTCATGCAAACAGATTATTTCCGTTCGAGTTCCCCTAGTGAATATCATACTATGCACAATTTTTGCTAGCTTTAAGTAAAATTCAAAAGTCTATGGTAGAAATGGATCCTCGCAAGGGATTGCACCAATTCTTCACCCTCCTGACAAAAGTACGTAACTACACTTCGTAATAAACACTGTTTTCCATGTAACTCAACGCTTTTCCGGGTTCGTCTGTAATTATAGTTAGGTCCTTTTGTCAGCTAGGAGACGAATTCACTGCTACATTGAATATAAAATACAGAATAAAATTTATTGCAAGTTTGCAATTTTTAAATTTGGTCCGTATCTATCTTAAATTATGTCAAAATCATAGAATTTCTTCTTGTGTATTTTGCACCTTTTGCAGTAATAAACTGTGTAAACGATGAATTTAGGAACCTCTCTGGTTTCTCTGGTATACTTAACTTGCGAACCTACTGTATACCACAAGGAATATTGTGATTCGCATGATCTAATTCTTGTTCTTGTTTTCCAGGTTGAAATGACCGGCAGTAGCGTTTTCGACTACGTGCATCATGGCGACCACAGTGAAATGGCCGAACACTTAGGACTAGGTCTATCTCAGGGACAGTCCCCGGGCAGTGCACATAGTGAAGATAATAGTGGTACCTCGACCACCGGTACCGCGAATCCTGATGGTAAGCGTTCCGTACCAGTTCGTTGGAAAAATAACCTACACAACTCACCTCTTAATATGCTGATTTTACTGTAGTGCGAGATAAAGTAAATTACCGATTTTAAACACACGGTATAATAATGGTTAAAGTGCGAAACCATTTTTCTTTGGGACGTTGTAGACTTCCCGTTATACTTTAATATTTCTTCGAAAAACCAGTCAATGTACTTTCTTGAAAACTTCCTTGAGTGTTCTTTTCTGTAAGCAGAATACTCAGTAAAAATGTCGAGCTCTGAAGTTGGTTGTTTGCTCTTTAAAATCTCTTAAACATCAAATAAGAGCGGAAATTTTAATAGACCTCAATAAAGATACGTGGTTTCGCACTTTAGCAATCGATATTCCCAAAATTTCAGTAAAATCTCATTCAGTAAGACTTTGTGCCGAGGAAATCACTGTTTCTTGTCCAGGAAGCGACCCATTACGCCGTGTAAAATTTTAGTTGTGCGGAAAAAAAAATTCTAGTTTTGAATCGCATTGGTAGAAATAAATGCGATTAGCGAGCGATCATATTTCCATCACATTCTTATTGATTCTACAATAGTTTGAAGATGTATTTTTCAACAAACTCACATTCACTTCCATTAAAACTCAGACAAGACATATTGATTGTATATCTGTAAGTCTCTTTCATTGCTAAAAAAAGAAAAAAAAAAGAATCTCCTCCTCGAATTTTTCCGGAGTCAATAATCCTCGTCTTTTCTTCGATCTGTAATTGGGAATGGTTCGATCGACTGCCTCGATTGATTCGACGAGTCCGAGCCGGAAACGCGGTTGACCAGTTCTAACCGCGGTTGCCGCCTCGACACCGCAATTCGTCGTTCGCCTGACAAAACAGCGTAACTATACACTTAATGAGCCCGGGAAAGCATTAAGTTATATGGATGACATGGTTCATCGCGAAATGTAGTTACATCTTTATGTCAGGAGAGCGAGAAATTCCCCGTTCGATTATGCTCGGGAGCTGAGATAGATCATCATACGAGCATTAGGACGTTGCAAAATTGACGCTGATGATGAAGTCATTTTTCAGCAAAAATTGTAAACGTTTCTCATTGGATTTTTCTCAAAATATAATTCGCAATAAAATCTAGTGCATCTGAAAAATGTCCTGGAAAAATATTCAAAACATTCTACAGAAATAAATATCTTACCGGAGGAAAGGTAACATTTCAATGATTGATGGTGAAACTACCAAATCACGTATCTCGGGTTGTGACGTTGCAGACTTCCTTTCACACTTCATTTTTTAATAGAGAACTACTACATGCCCATTCTTCAAAACTTCCAAAGTTTTTCTTCCCTGTGCCAGGCCAATTCTAAAAAAACTTCAAAGAATGCTGTTGATTCGTTCTCCTCTAAAAAAATTAAATGGGAGCGGAGATTTTTAAACTTCACAAACGATATACGTGGTTCGATAGTTTTGCCGTCGACGTGAGGCATTTGGACAACAGCATCAACAAGAATTTTTTGGTTTTTATTTGGAGTCAGTTTAAAGAACAATTAAAGGTGAAATTGTTACTATTTCCATTAATTCTACTATCTTATTATGTTACAGTGTCCAGTCAAATGTCCTTGAATACCTCGTCTATATATAAAGGTTTAGAGCGTTCTTTTTGCGTTCGAATGAAATCAACGCTAACGAAACGCGGTTGCCATTTCAAATCCTCCGGATATCGGGTAAGTAGTTCATTTTTATATAATACCTAAGAAAAATAAACATGAAATGGAAGACGTCATTGAAAATTTTAAGGACATGCATTGATGAGAATGAAATGAATAGCGTCTGTGAAAGTGGAATAAATGAACATTAAAAAAAAAGGAAATAAAATGTACTAACTAATGAAATACATTAAAACAGAGAAGAAACTTCGGTTTTTATGAACATTAAAAGGCTTTTAGCCCAGTTAAATGATGGTTTCCGGTGACAACCAAAATTTTTCTCAGCCATTTACAAACGCTCGTATGTTGTCCGAAAGATCTGGGCAGAAATCCGGTTCTCATGACGAAAAACTTGGGTTACCTGCACCGAAAACTTTAGTGCTCTATTTGAACTGAAGTTTAGTTCTTACAACACTAGAAAAAAAATCGCTTGGATGTAGAGTCCAGACTCTTAAAAACATTGACAAGAAAAATACTCTTGATTCAGTCGGATTTTTTCAGTCAGGGCTCTCAATCCAAGCTACTTTTTTCCAGTGAAAGTTTTTTTTCTTTCCGCAAATGGCATCATCTACAAGATCGGGAGTTTCAAAATCCTCGCATGCGTAATTTGTATGAAGTTGGGGGTTCGAGATAGTGTCATTTGCATTATTATAGACAAAAATTCAAATGAAACTTTTGCTTCGGAGCGATAATACTGAAGGCTAAATCGTTTCACCGTCTCAAAGACCATACGCCCACGTAAATGACATATTTTCGCCACGGATGATTCATTGGCTTTTGAAAGTTTCTGGTGAATTGACAGGCGCTTGGTGGCTCGGTAACGTAGAGCAAGTTGAGGCCTTTCACCATTTAATCACCGCTCAACCCTTTCATCGAATGACACTGTCGAACACACCGCTGCCACATCGACCCCTTCAAAGTAGAAAGTGCGTCCTTCTCGTATGAAAACTTTTTCTTAATGAGTGAGATGCTGAAATTCCAGAAAATTTAATAATTATAGACAGGTTCTCTTGCAAATTTTTAAAGAAGGAACCAAGTGTCCACGAGAAGTTTCCAGATCCGAAAAAAAGGCACGAAACGGAAAGAAGTGAGCTCACGAAGTGGAAAAGAGGAAAATGGTTTTGAAAGTATATTACTTATTTCCCATCAATATCATCGTAGTCATAAAAATATTCAACTTTCTCGGTTCTTTAACTATGCGGTTTGAATGTTCCGAAACTTTGGAGTTTGGCACTTTCCTCGGCAGAAGAAATTCGCGCCTACTTTTCAATGTGAAATTAGGAAAAAAACACACATTTTGAGGAAAGAAATACAAATTTTGAGCAGAAAAATGAAAGGAATTGAATAAAGTTAAAGATGCGCCTGGCTCTATAAACCACCTCTCCGCATAAAAACGGAATTCTTATCGTGTCGAGGTGGGTAAGTATGACATCCAAAATTTCTGGTCGTATTCTTTTACAAAATTTTGTCAAAAGGAACTTCTTAAAATAGCAAACGTGATGCGTGTTTCAGCAGTCACAATTTTTGATACAACGGTGACTCTACCAGTTCACGTATCTCCGTTTGCAACGTTATACAGACGTTTAGTCGTACTTAACTATTTTAGTGGAAAACTACTCAACGTCAATTCTTGAAAACCTCTGTGATTTTCCTTCCCTGTGCGAAAAAAACTCGGCGAAAACTTCAAGGAATGATATTAATTTAATCTCCTTCAAAAAAATAAAAAGGGAGCGGAGATATTTAAACACCACAAATGACATACATGGTCTGGTAGTTTCACCATCGAGGTAATTCTCCGATGTGAGCTTTTACAAATTTCGGTCTCGGCAACAGGGTGGACGGGGGAGTTTGGCGCGCGCCCTCCAAGACTCTTTCCTTCATTTCCGCCTCCCCGCCTCTCCTATTATCTTAATATTACCCAGAATCGAAAACACCCCTTTTATTTTTCGACACTCATTTAAAGCCCCCTGCCTTGTTGTTATTATCGCCTCTAACTTCTCGCCCGCTAAGCCGGGTGAATCATTTGGCATTCTTGGAACCCCTGCAGGAACAGCTTATCTACTCACGTTTTCCCGTTCGATTTACGCGGTTTATGATCAGACGAGTGAGTCCTCGCTCAACCCTTCACCGAGCTCAATAAGACGTCGTGTCATCCGAACTAGCTTCTCGAGTTGATAATCCCTGTCGGGGCTCTTAATCTAACGTGCATCGCGCATGTGATACGTGCGGAATTCCGGAGGAGTTGCCTTCGCTCCGTAATGGAACCGTTTATTTACGGAATAGCCCAAGTATTAATAACTCGTGAGCCATGTAAATCATGATACATAGGAGGAACCAAGGACCGTGTCTATGCATACTGTACCTTCTGAAATACCTAGGGAACACGGCTTTTCAGCGAGATCTAGAACGACGTTTTGATACAACTATTCGTACTTAATGGATGTCGGTGTTGCATAATCGAATGTATGAAGGCGTTTTTACGGAGATGAGCTGTTCCATGGTTGTCTTCGTGGTTCCTTAAAAAAATGCTCTAAAAATTTCTAAAAAAGTTAAAACAAATTACATACATTTGCTTGCATTATGATGGATGAAACGTCAGTGGAGATTTTCAGACACTGCGGCCAAAATTTCTGCACTTATTCTACCCCCAGTGAATCTCATCAGGATTCTGGTGTTTGCCAAGGATACGGAGAGATTTCTTGGCCTTCCGATTTTAAAAACCCCTTCCTCCTCAGAAACGTCAAAAAGATGACTTTTTCATGGCTCTGTACGTATAAATTTCCGCGATTTTGCAAAGAACCCGTGATTTCAGTGTTACAAGAAAAAAAAAATAGATGTTGCCGGCTTTGCTATTTAAAAACACACTTCACATTTTCACACGCGACCAATCGCGAAACGCCCTGTAGCGTGATCGAGAAATTTTCTCACCCCTGCCCTGGTTTGTTTCCTGATGCCATCGAGTCTGGTGTTGATTACTATACTCACACTACTATCGCTAAATCTACATTTTTGTTTCTTGCAATGACATACGGAAGTCCGTTGACACTATTTGGTTATTTGCGCTGAATTTATGAATATTGTGATTTTTGTGGTCATTTGCGCTCAGTTTATGATTATTTTGATTTTTGTGGTCATTTGCGCTCAGTTTGTAAATATTGTGATATTTTTGTCATTTGCGCTTAGATTATGAATATTGTGATTTTTTTGGTCATTTGCGCTCAGTATATGAATATTGTGATTTTTTTGGTCATTTGCGCTCAGTTTATGTATATTGTGATTTTTTTGGTCATTTGCGCTCAGTTTATGAATATTGTATTTTTCTGCTTGCAGGTAGTTTTAATGCTGTGCCGTCTGAGGCCGCAGTACACTTTCTCGCACAGCCGGAAGACGTCTCCGCCCCTACTGGGCATGGTCTCGCTGGCCATCGCCCTGCCACCGCCCAGTGTTCACGAGATACGCTTAGAGTCCGACATGTTCGTCACGCGGGTCAACTTCGACTTCCGCATCGCCCATTGCGAACCGAGGTACAGTGACAGGTATCTCCCACCAATCACCCTCTTCCTTCTTCTTTGCCCAGGGTCCCCGGCTCCGAGTCATCTCACAAAATGGTGGCTCGCACCTGGATCTTCGTATACGGACGTTTTATGCAAAACTAGTCTCTTTACGATGATGGTTTTCTTAAAAAACGTATATTCAAATGCAGCAGAGATAAATACCCCTGCTAAGGCGTGTAAATCATGCCTTAATAGCACAATGACGCTTAAATTATATCTCTAAAAGCATTGGTGTATCATTAAAAAAAGAAGAATATTTCATAGACGACTTTGAAAAGTTAGAGGAGACAAGTTATGGTGACATTTATGCGTTTTTTGTATGTTACAAAGTCAGTTTTTGCTCATTTTAAGAACATTTTTAAAAGTTACGAGTATAATAGTTCTTAAAAGGCGTTTAAAGTGTCAAATCATTTTTTTTAATTATTTTAAAAACAGCTCTAGAACATTTTTTTAAAAAATGCTAAAAACTTCGGGATGCGTTCAAAAGTATAATTGTTTAATTTCGTAGTGCCGCAGTTCCTGTGAAAATGTACAGATCATCCCTCTATTCAGCTGGGCCCCATCAAATCTCTTTGACAGTGTCGTTTGCATCTAGTTGTTAAAATTGTAATGTTCTTTGATTAACAGGGTGTCGGAGTTGTTAGATTATACTGCAGAAGAACTGACAGGAATGAATTTATATACGTTATGTCACGGAGAAGACGTTAGTCGACTTAGGAAATCACATCTTGATCGTAAGTACCCTAATTCATCTTTTCAACTTGAACTTATGCGTACGTGGCTTTTCATAGAAAACACGTAATTTTAGGTACTTTTCAAAAGCCTCAAGTTTTCCAACGGATCTGCGAAACAAAAAATGCCCAATCAAAACAATCAAGAATTTGATCCAAGATCAGAAAAGTTCGATTTTTAATACAAATTTTCATCAGTGGTTGCCTGTATACTTTCAAGCTGAGTTTACTTCAATGATGCTTGGAATTATCTAGATTAGTTCACATTAATGCAGTTTTGCTTCGATTTTTTCAAAGATTTTAAATTATACGTGACAATTCTTCGTAATTAAAATATTGATTTGCGCATAAGATTGACGATGTTTTGCTACTGGTCAAAATTTTACCAGTTCGTTTATGAAATTTTGACTTGCACCAACTTCGCGAACATAAAAGCAGCCTGATTGTTGAAATTTTGTGTTTGTCGGGTGGACATGGATGACATAGGTTAAATGGCGAAGCAAGATTGGTCGGCTATGTCTTATCGCTGCTTTTTCGTGATTTGTCGATTGGAATGGACGACATACTGTCGGAAACTCAAGAGAAGCCTTTAGTTTGTCGTCCATTCCAATCGACAAAGCACTAAAAATCACGAAAAAGCACGACAAAGCCGTGATAAGACATAGCCGACCAATCTCGTTCCGCCATTTAACCTATGTCGCCCATGTCCACCCGACAAACACAAAATTTCAACAATGAAGCTGCAGTCAAGCGATTCCACTACATGTAGAAAAAGCTACTAGTCCTGTTCAAAGTGGATAGGGTCCCACCAGTAAAGACAACGACGCTCTTTGAGTACGCGACTACCGCGATAAGATCCTCTTCTTTCTTAAAAATGTTTTTATTCTAATTTTATTCCTCTCGACAAATCCTTCCCAAAAGTTGTCGAATCTAAATATGACCCTTCCGGTACACGTCACTCTTGAGTCTTCCCAGAGCCATCAATCTGATGGTGAGCCTTATGGAGATCTCCACGAGGCCGGAAACCCGAAAAACCCGGCGCGACGTTCCCATGTGAATCACGACCTCGCTGCAGAAGCACAAGCACATCGGGTATCAACAATGCCGGTATTAATATTAAAACAAATACGAGGCCCGCGTTTATGGGACGAGCCTCGTAAAAAGACGCGAGCTCGCGTGTGTGACACCGTCGAGTGAAAAATGTCGGTGGTTCTGGGGTTGGGCCAAATTTCATCTGCTTTCGTATTCCGGGCGGCGGCTTGACAGGAAGCCTCATCCCCCGAAGCCCGCCGTTGCCAGATATCACCGAAAATCACTTGTTTTCCCTATTTAAATCAATTTAAAATATCCTGAGCTGGCAACGTTGCTGGAGGACAGGCACATCTTCTTCCCAGGAGTGGCTTAGGCTTCTCTCAATCAGCGTGTGTCATCTCGAGCCTATCTCGGCTCATTATTTCCCGAAGCGGCCTCTTATCGTCGCCCCGCTGACGCAAGGGCGGATCTTTATTTCCACATGAGCCCCAAAAAGCATGGAGTTTTATGTACAAGAAGACTCACATGGAAATCTAGATACGTCCTTACGTTAGAGAAGTGACGTTATCACCTGCTCCATCCGTCCCATTACGCGAGGACCGCTTGCGCTTTTACTACGCTTACTCACCTCGCGTTTTAATCAACAACGGCAGCCGGCCAGGTTCATTCAGCTTTTCCGCGAGCCCTTCCCCCCCCCCCCCCCGCCTACTATTGTTTTTTTTTGGTCAAGGTGTTTTCGGAGCTTCTTGCGCAGAGACTGTGTATTTTAAAGACTCCGCATTGACAAAGAAAGCAATGTAATCGGATGAGGCTATGATGTATTTGAGCGTTAACGCTATTTTTCACCTATGATGGTTGATGAGCAACTTGTCGAGCATAAAATTTGCCGAATGATGACCGATGAAAGTCGCGGTGAGCTTTATTTGCACCAAAGTTGCGATTCCAAAAATGTAAGGTGCTAAGATAACCTAACTGATTCGGTTTCTTTTTGTTTTTTCCAGTAATTCACAAAGGCCAAGTTCTAACTCATTACTATAGGTTGATGAACAAATGCGGTGGTTTCACGTGGTTACAGACGTGTGCCACAGTTGTTTGCAGTGCCAAAAATGCGGAAGAGCAAAACATCATCTGCGTCAATTATGTACTTAGGTAAGTCATGGTCTAAATGCCTCTACAGATGCATAGATAAAGTAAAGGAGTAAGAAACATTCTATGAGTCAAGTAATTCGTTTGAAAAAGTCGAACATTGTGAGAGAATGCCAACTACCTTCGGGGTCTAAGTCAAGCAGCTGCGAGCTGCGACTGACTGTGTGTGACTCGCGGATTCATTGCCTCCTTAGAGGCGCCTTCTGTTTTGACTGATGCAACTATTCATACCCGACCATCACAGCAGCTGCTCGTACTCCTGTTTCATAATTAATCCATCAAAATTCAGCCGCTAGAAAATTGCTGTTATTGTCCCCATCGCTTTATCTCTACTTTTTAAACATGTTTGAACCCCGAAGAAGAAAGTGCACCCTGTAACTTACTAGAATCTCGTTATAACTGACTTGATACACGGCGACTTAGAGTAGTTTCAGTCTTAGTTCGTTCCAAATCATAGTAGAAATTGCAACTTAATTTTTCTTTCTAAAAATTAAACATGAGCGGAAATTTACGATGTTTGAGAGACGCATTTTTCGACTTTTGTCATTTTTAAACAAAAATTTAATGTATATTCGAAAAGAATCATGAGAAATTACATAGATATCATTTCTTGGACTTTTAAGGACTTTGAATATTTACTTGAAGAAAATGTACCAAAAGACTAGCTTAAAACTATCCTCACATACCCACTTTAATATTTAAAAACTAAAAAGGTAACTCAATTGTTTTTCGGTAAATCTGTCCAGTTTAGCAATCTTTTCATGTTTTTTCATGTTTACTTTATTTTGATGTTTCAGTGGTAAAGAGTATGAAAATCTAGTGATGGATTGCTGCCAGTTAGAAGATCATATTGCTCAAAGGGTTAAGCGGGAAGAGACAAGCGGGAATAACCCTGAAAACGGCTCGCCGGATGCGGATGGTGGAGGTAGGTTATACTTTTATTGCTCTAAGGTATTTTTAAAACTCCATCACTAGTCCTTTCATCCTCTAAATTTAGAGAACGAAAGGACCGGTGCCTGATGCTAATATGGCATGGCGGTATATGATTTCCGATTAATATATCATTGTGTCGGAAAGAAAGCTCAAACTGACTTTTTGATGCTTTAAAATTGGAATTTGGGAGCGAATTTTTCACAGGATATGCATTAAGACTAGTTTTAATTGAAATCATTAATATCTCAATTTTTTTCAAAAACTACACGTATGCGCCTTGTTCTCTCAACCCCTCCATTAGACAACATTTAATTTTTTTTTAAAAAAAAAGTGAATTGGCATGCCTCCTTTTTTCCACGTTAAAATTTTTCATCGAATTCATATCTGTTCGAAGCGCTATCGACTTTTTCCATTTTAATTTCACTTCAAAAATCGAAAATTGAAATATCTTCCGTAGAAGATGCCCATCTTCTACGGATGACCCTTCTTTTCATAAAGTAAAAGTCAACTAAATTTAGCATTGACAGATCATGGGTGGCGGTAGCCACCTCCGGACAAAGTCTAAACTCGACAACACTGGAAAGCGTCCCAACGAAAAAGGTGGCAGCCAACCATAGATACACGTAACTCCCTTATTCTGAAAATTGATTCGGTTCGAACTCGACTGCAGCCCAAACGACGGCACGGATTCCAACGATCTTGGTGTCTACTGACGCACCTAAATTGGGCCTACAAAGTGGGAAAGTTTCATCAAGATCCATTGAGTTTTCAAAAAGTTATAAGCACTTAAAGGCCCAAAATGATCATGTTGAACATGTTGAAGCGTGTGAGATATTTTGTCTAACCGAATTTGGATGTTTTTACAGACGGACGAAGCAGTGGACCACCGCACAACAGAGAGCACCACTTAACGCCTCCCGAGATGGAGGACGGAGCGTCGAGCACGCCCGGCGAGCAGCGCGGAAGACAGCAAATAGACCATAGTTCTCAGTTACGCCAACAAGCTGATCAGCAGGTAATTATCATGATAGGAAATCCTTTATAGCCACTTCCAAGCGCAAGTTTAAGCGTTGGAGAAACTCCTTCATTTCAAAAAGTATGAAATTTTTGCACAGAAGTCGAAACTGTTGTATCACGACGCCTGTCATTGATGTGCAGTTTTTAATGTGTATTTTGAATTAAGCTCCGCACGATATGGTCGTATTATACGCTCTTAGGTACGGTCAGAGACGCAGAATTTCATGAGTCTTTACAAAATGAGGCTCCAAATTGAAATTTCATGAAATTTTATGAATTTTTTTTTAAATTCTGTAATAGACTTGAATGTCATAAAATGCATAGAAACGGTAAACTCCTAATTCTTAAATGTTTGAAAGGGGGAGGGGAGATAAATTTATCAGTAAGTAGTCGAATTTCGAAGTCCCTCATCGAATTCTCGAATAATTGTCACGGATTTTATCCGTAGCTCCTGAAAAATTGTTGAAATTGCATCGTTCAACTGAACGAAATTTCATTTGAAATTTCGTGACATTTCATTCAGCGATATTTCACTTTGCATCTGTGGATACGGCCTTTAAGGCGCGCAAGTTTGTTGCGCCTATTGACATTATTTCTTCTGTTTGTGTTGTTTTAATGCCAAGTGTCTAAAATTCAGCGCTTATCCTGTGTTTCAGATGAGCAGTACGCTGGCGTCGCAATCACCAAAGAAACCTAGCCTGATCGAGAAACCGCTGCAGGTGCCGGCCCAGGCTCAAGCACAGGCGCAGACCCAAGCCCAAGTCCAAGGGCGGCGGGTGCAGAAACGGAAGCTCCTTCTTCCAACACAACATCGGGAGGGCGATAACAGCAGCTCCGAGGAGGACATCCCAGCCGCCCGGAGGTGCCTGGTCCTGAGCCCGGCCTCCTCCTGCCACTCCTCCGTCGCCCAACCGAGCCCCCGGCAGCACCCTCCCGAAGAGAACGACCCTCCCGGGCCCACCACGGCCGCCACCTCCGTCAAGGACCTCGAGCAGGCCATGTCCAAGCACCTCCCCTCCTCGCCGCCCTCCCTCTCACAACCAACCGACTTCAGCACCGACTCCCTCCTCAAACAACAACAACGAAGCACCATCCAGTGGATCGGCACCCACCACCTCCAGAACGGCGCCCCGCTCCCCGCCTCCTCCCTCCTCCGCCAGCTCTACGCCAATCGGGAGAGCGTCATCCGCGCTACCGTCACTTCCGGTCGCTCCGGCTCATCCCCAAGCGGCGGGTACTACCCCGGCTCCGAGATCAACCACGTCGGCCCCTTACCCACTCCCCCCGGCAGCGAGAGCTCCTACTGTGATCAATTCCTGAAGTCCTCGACCGAGCCTTTCAGCATGTACTCCCACTCGGGCACCAACGGCTACGACTACCACTCGGCCATGACGCCGCCCTCTTCGGTCTCGCCGCGGGACAAACACCAGCAGCAGCTCCACTCCAACGGGGCCTTCGACAACTCTGTGTATACGGACGTTCTTCGGCACCAGTACTTGAGCTCCGGAAACGGTGGCGACATCCCCGCCCAGCCGTTCCCGCTCAAACCGCAGCCTTATGCAGCGGTCCACCCGAGTGCCCTCGACGCCGCGTATGCTACGGGGTCTCTGGAGCAGTCGCAGTTCTACCACCATTCCGCCGGCTTCCACCTCTACCACCCGACGGCTTCCAAGGCCTTCTCGGCCGCGTCGGACCCCCTCAAGAATTCCACCAGTTGGTATTCCGCGCCGTCGTAGTCCAATCCAAGGTTCCCCGGTTAGGAATGTTTTTTCCAAACGGAAATGTGACCGTCCACAGGGACTCGTCCACGAGGGTGATTTTTCGGACGGTGATTTTTTTTCAAGTTGGTCCGTTCGGAAGATCTAATTTTCAGTTTTTGACGGGAAAGCACTATCTCAAGTAGCACATATTGTAATTAAAAATTATTGCTATCGGGCCGGAGTGTAGGGTATATCGTCTATTCACTGATTGAAGGGACTTCTCTATCTGAAATTAATTCAAATAAGGTGCAATTTTTTGCTTCGAAAATAGACTATCTTTCTCACCCATGAAACTCATTTAATTGATCGTTTACAGCCAGCATTTATTGACCAAATAAAGTAAAATTATCACTGTTTCGTGGTTATTAATTGAAACTGTATTGCATTGAAATAAGAATTACTTCAATATTTTTGTTGCGCTGTGCTACTTGGATTTAAATTGTCAAAAAGGTACTTTCGTCATGTTTTGTGCCAATAAATGACGCTACCCTTCTCCACAAGAGCCCTTCAGCCCTCAGCATTCTTGAGCGTTGCTTGTGCCAAGGTATTTCCACAATTCACATTTGCTGAAATTCATACCAATGTCTCCGTTGTGAGTTCTTCAACAGTGAGGTCCATTCCCCATGCCAAGGATGATCACCAAAAATAATATCATTTTCATCGGGTAGTATAGTAATAAGTAACCTCAATAAAAGTATATTACGACACGATGTGTGCCGAACAAAACTGACGAAATCCTAAGCCACGTAGGTGCCTACATTTCGAAGTGTTTTATGGAGGATGGTTTGATCCAAGAATAAAGCATCCCAATTTTTTAGCAAGGCCTAAATTTTGGTTAAAATTGACTTAAAACATACTTAGGAGGAATACATACTTACTGCTAAAATTTTCAAATTCAATTGTCCCTTTTTCCGCGTCATGTCGTTGATTGTAGGTTCCTTTTGCAAGTTTTCAAAACCACTTGCTCTATCAATCTGTATAAATTCACGGGCTCAAGAAACTCTTGCGCATAGGTACTTTTTTATTATTTATTTCAATTTTTTGTTAACGTTTTGTTTATGTTTGTAATTATCAATTCCAATAATCGTGTAATTATGTATGATACTGTATCTATTTTACTCAGTAAAACTGATTTTTTTACTTCTCTTTATCATTTTTGTACCGAGGTAAAAATCGATGATGTAACAATACTTCACATTTACAAAGGGTGCTTTAAAAAAGTCAAGGTGTTTTAGCAGTACCTAAATTGTTGATTCTAGATAATTTTGAGTAATGAACTGACATCAGTCAACTTCTTTAAACATTTTTAGTGACTGATATACTCTTAAGATGGCTTGATGCTTTTCTCTTCATCTTCTATGTCTTTCGTCCTCTGCTCTTATTCGTCCTTTCTCTTGAGACAGATTGCTATCTTTCTTGATGTTTCAATTGTTGTTTCTTTTTTTCCTCGTTGCCCTTTCTGTGACTCATCCTCTCCTTTATTTTTTTGTAGCAAAATGAACACTAAACAGAACACTGAAATCATTTCTCTTTACTCTAGCGACAATGCTAACTCCCTTCCTCAGTTGGATTCCCTTAATCTCATACTTAGACAAGCATTAATTTTCCTCTGTTTTTCTGATGTACTCTTGGAGTAAGGCTAGCAGGATATTGGATGCGCCAGTTTTTAATCAGGAGAATTTGGCAGCCATTAATGTGAGCATGACTGTGCTCCCCATATAAATTATTACACTGAGAGTGCACATTTTTAACTTTCCAGTTTTCTGTTTCAAACAGTTAAGATTTCTAATGTTTGAAATACATACCCACAGTTTATCAGAAACGCACTCATAATTCATAATTTTTTTTTTTTTTCCGAATTCCAATCTTTGATTTCCAAGTTGGACAAAAAATAGGGAGAAATTGTGCTGTGATATAATTTATTAATAGTGAATTTGTAAAATGCGAATAATAGGAAAATCTTAGAAGGTTAAGTAAACCATAAATTAAGTTGTTTTTTTCTTGTACCTTAATGTATACCTGTGAAATCTCTCCATCTCAGTATTTTTCATTTTCATCTCTTCGTCCGCTTACTTGTAAAATTTCTGTTTTCGTACGTCACTAAAGAAGAATGTCTAATAGTTACAATTTTTGTACAATGCCGAAAGAAAAAGACCATGAGCAAGAATAGAAGTAAAAATTCAAGTAAAGAGAATCATGTGCAATATTTTTTTTTACGTTCTTTGCGATTGGTTGTAAATGTAACTGTGTACTCCTATGTCTTTGAAAATTATCTGTTATTATTCTTTTTATCATAATATCATTATTATTTTTTACATTATCCTTTTAATCTATAGTATCATTAATCAATGAAGAATGTGTGTTATCTTACAAATTTTTAAAAATACCTGCTTGTCCTCATCTATGGAGGTAAACTTTCAGTCCGACTTAAGCTACCAAGGTGCATATTTTTCGTAAAAGTACTTAAATTGAGTGGAAACGATCATAAATAACTCGTCATCGGGTAAACTAGAAAGCCAATAAAAGAACTTAAGTTAAACATTGGCTCCGATAACTTCCAAAATGTCTCCATCATAAGGTATTTTTAAAATTGATTTCTAAATATTTTTAAATAATATTTTGTAACTGTACATATGCAACGTTATATTAAAAATTCAGAATGATTCACGTTTAAATAGTTGTTTTAATTTCATGAGGCAAGTCTCATTTCCTTTCCTATGAATGACCTTTGCCTGATCTCAACTTTGGGAGCTTTCATAAATTAAGCAACACACTTGTTTGGCATTTTAGACTCCCCCTCTTCCCCTGTAACGATTTGTAATGCATCCCCAAATGCTTGAACGCATCGCTTGATCCATATCCCCCACCCCCATTCCTCAAATGCCTTGAGAAACTACTAACTAGTGAAGATATGGCTGGATAAAATTTGCATTATTTTCAATGGGACTGTAAAAAATTACATTGAAAAAATAGGCAATACATTTTTAACATTGTGTTTCATACTACTAGAGAGGGTTGCTCAGTTGAGCCGTGGAGGTCTTTTTAATATCGTCTACTGTTATAAAGGGTAAAGCTGCCTAAAATCTGCTGCGTGAAAGAGTGGCTAAGTGCTACCGGCACTAAGAAGACTTCGATGGTGAAAAAGCAGAAGTGCGTAGGTATCTCGGAAAACACGATTTTTCAGGAGAGTAAAAAAACTGTCTACATTTCTCCTTATCGTCAGTAGAAGGGTAATAATTCTTGAGGATAGCAAGAATAAGATGCTTTTTCAGACTTCATTAATATTTTGAATAATTTCTCGCGCTGTTAGGAAATACAGCCGAAATGCCGAGATTCGCGTTTTCGGCACTAAGAATTGACACTTTATCACGAGATACGCATTTTTACAATTAGTGTTTTAAACCTATCGTTGGCGGATTTTGATCATTTAAAAACTGAAAAAAGGGTCTCATGCTTACAATTCTTTATCAGAAGCTTTAGTTTGACCTCATACGGCCGGATCAAGCATTGTATGATTGGAAACTGACATTAGATTACGAGATACGCCTTTCTGCAATTAGTGTTTTGAAGCTACTCTTGATCATTAAGATCAAAAATAGAATTTATTCAACCTTAAAACTTATTTAGAAGCTTTAGTCGATCCAATACACTAAATGAAGCATTGTTTGACCGGATTGACTCTAATAAAACTAACCGTTGTGATGAACCGTCAGTTCAATCAGTTCGTGATTGCATTGGCCCAGAGAGTAAAAATGGACATGAACATCGCGCGCTGCTAGTAGGTAGTAGATACCTATGAAGAAATGATACTGGACTGGAAGGCCCTCGAGTGATAATCCGCCTTCAATTACAAGCGTATGCAACATTAATGACAAGTAACAGTACCTAATCTCCCCCTCCCCTCGTCTATCGGCCTATCACCAGCATTCACTGATATTATGCATGCTGGACTGCCTGATTATCCACATTTATCCACATCAACTTTTCTTTTAGAAAACAAAGGGTATGTAAAAGCAGCCCGAAACGGAAACGACAATTGAAAACACAGGAAAAAGCGGAAACAAGGCTAAAATACAAAATATAAAGGCAGGATGTTTCGGTACCTTACGGCACCATTATCAACTGCAAAAAGAATTAAAAATAAAAAGAAATTAAAATAAAAACCAGCAAACGGCGTTACATCGTGAAATTGGTAAATGAGACTCAAACTCAACTGAGTCTCATTTACCAATTTCACGATATAACGCCGCGGCTTTACCACGGTCCTTTGGTCCCTTTATTATCTCACTTTTCTTACCAATTATTGGTAATATTACCAAGACAGACTGCTTTTATCAGGTAAGAATACCACTTTTATTGGTAATCAATTCCCGGTAACTTCGCCATTTTATCTCGGTAATTCTACCAAAGTCGATCAAAAAAAATGGCGTTTTTACCAAGGTCCAGTAAAATTACCCAAAATGTTCAATAATCTTACCGAGATTTCTAAGTAAAATTACCAATTCCATAAATGGTAATTTTACCAAGAAAAAACTGGGATCAAATAAAACCCTGAATTCTTGGTAATTTTACCCTTTTTTTAGTAAATGCACCGAGATTTTTTTTTCAGTGGGGACCCGAGTCATTGTTGGAATGTGGCGCGCCTTCAACCCATTTGGCAGCAACATGCTTACACTCGTGGTCGAATAGTTGTATCACTACGCCTGCCGTGAGTGAGCTCAAATATCCTTTCCAGCACGCGTAAGGAAGCGTATTTAGCTCCGATTGCAACGTAACAGACACCAACTAGTGTCTTTTTCCTAATCATTCTTGTCACGAAAGGCAAAAACAGTTTTTCTAAAGAATTTCCGCGGATTTTCTTCAATTGCCGGATATTTGACGCAATATTCTCTCTCGTTTCCTTCTTCATTTTAAAATAATGATTATAACTAAACCAAATCCGAGATTCTGAATAATTACAATTCAGGGATACACATTCCCTCAAATTGTGGTAATAGTTATTAATTATTAATTATTATGTAGAGGGTCAAGGATAATGACGTGTAGTCCTACCTTGGCGGCGATTTCAGCGGCGCGCCAGCCAGGGAGATCGCACGGGATGGGACCCAAGTAATTGTTGGAGTGTGGCGCGCCTTCAATCCAGCTGGCAGCAACATGCTTACACCCGTGGTCGAATAGTTGTATCACTACGCCTGCCGTGAATGAGCTCAAATATCCTTTCCAGCATGCGTAAGGAAACGTATTTAGCTCCGATTGCAACGTAACAGACCTCAACTAGTGTCTTTTTCCTAATCATTCTTGTCACGAAAGGCAAAAACAGTTTTTCTAAAGAATTTCCGCGGATTTTCTTCAATCGCCGGATATGTGACGCTATATTTTCGCTCGTTTTATACCTCATTTCACATACATTTTAGCGGCGAGCCAGCCAAAGAGATCGCACGGGATGGGACCCGAGTAATTGTTGGAGTGTAGCGCGCCTTCAATCCAGCTGGCAGCAACATGCTTACACCCGTGGTCGAATAGTTGTATCACTACGCCTGCCGTGAATGAGCTCAAATATCCTTTCCTCGAGGTTGCGTGCAATCTGCTGAATAAAAGAATGCGGTGGCTAAGTGCTACTGTAGATCAGAAGACCTTCTCCTCGATTTAAGTTTCCTGGTAATTCAACTGACACGAAAATTTGGCGATAAAATTTCATATTTTCATAAACTCAGGATGATTGTAACAGAAACCTTCATTAATGACATTGGGTGTTGTTTAAAAGAAAAGACTCAATAAGAATGGAGAAATATATTTTTTTTTATTTTTAAAAATATGTTTGAAAAATCATTTTATATTAAATAGCAAAATTAGTAACAGAAAAAAAAGAAAACAAATTTTCAAAATGAAGACAGAGTAAAAAAATGACCTAATATTATGACTATTATAAGTTTTTTAAGTCCTTAAAACTCTGAATATGAACAGATTTACTCAACAAGAAATACTAAATATTTTACAGGATTAAAAGATTCACAATCTCTTTGAAATCTCATCGATTTCATTTTGTGCAAGTAACTGAGACTGGAAAAACTTTTTTTTTTTGAAAAAAAAAAAGAATAAGGGATGAATGGCGCAAACTAGAGTAAAGTTTTTTGAGATCCTAGAGAATAAAAAAAAATTCTAAATGGTGTTCTGTTTTAGCAAGGGAAATTTGCATGGTAAGAGATACCACTTTCAAAGACACAATGACAATAATGAAACAAAATTTAAAAATAAATACACATAAAAGTAGAAGATTCAAAATTGGAAGGCATTGCTGTAGAAATAAGCCTACCTCGCACAAGAGTAAATATAAAAAAATTAGAGGTAGAACTTTTAAAAAAATTCTTGAAACTTGAAACTAATCATGCAAATTATTAAATGTAAGCATTTTTCTAGTGTTTGTAAACATTACTTAAAATCTTCACAACTGATTAGGTTAGGATCCTCATAAACTATCAATTGTATGAAACTTTACAGACCAGGAAATGTTTATATAGAGGTTTTTACTTCTCTTTCACAAGAAATACGCTCTCTTTTTTATTTTTTTGAATTATTTTCCTACCAGAAGCAAAGGAATATAAAAATGAATATTTTTCTTTTATCTGGTTTTTCAACCTAGAAGTTTTGATTTTAAACTCATTTTCATTGAGTTGCAAGTGACTTCCCGATGGAACATAATTTGATCAATAATTTCACCAAATTGACAAAAAATATTAAAAAATAAATAAAGAATGATTGGTAACTGCCTGAAAAAAATAAATAAATAAAGATAAATAATACAAATCCAAGAAAAGATTTTATGCAGATGTAAGCCATGATCATAAGGAAAAAATAAATACATACCTGTAATTTTTTTCGTTATGTTTTTTTTTTTTATTAAATTAAATTAAATTAAATTAGCATGCAAGTTATGTAAAATTACTGTTACAGTAACAAAAATAAAAAAATATGTCAACTGACCATCTAATGGTTACTAATCTTTTTAAGTTTTAGAAAGGTTCTATAGAACACTATCAACCTAAAATAGTAGAAATAACTAATTCTAAAAATCTAAAAGGACCCAGGAATAAAATATTCCTTCTTATTACTATCTCAGCAGATGCTAATCCAAAAAGATATGAATAAGAAAAAATAAAATAAAAAACAGAAAGTTTGTACCAAAATTATAAATAATTTTTGCTCAATTTTAAGAAAGCACACTGATCTTTTTGCTGAATGAAGCCCAATGGCTGAATGAAAAACTTAAAAACTTGAAAACTTGAAATGAATGCACTGACGATCAATTTTATACAAATTTGAAATGTAAAAGAAACAGCTTCGGGATGAGCCAACAAACAATGCGAGATGAAAGTAGAAAAACTTTATGAAATGCTGAGAGTAAGCTCTGACAACGGTTAAAAGAAAAAAAGTTACGCAATAAGATAGAGGATTCTAACACAGAGCAAGGACTTAAGCCTAGGATGAGATAAAGATGTCCCTTTGAGTGACATTAGAAGAGCAGAGTGGTTATCTCTAAAACAAAAAGATCAGAGAGCTTCCTGAGTGAGCAACCAAATTTAAATATTCCGTAGTTTTTAAGACATAAACAAAAGCAACAAAAACAAAGATTAAAATACCTAAACAAAAGAACACATGATACTGCTGAAAAATTAAA